CTTCACCTAAAAAACTGAGTAGGCTTCAGAGGCTTCTGGTTCTGCCCCCAATGGTAGAAGCTTCCATGCGAGAGGAAGCTGTGTTCTGAGGAATAGCTGACTCTTGCACACTGATGGAAAGCACTGGTGAGGGCGTCAGTGCACTTCATTCCCAGGTTCACTCCGCAGTTCAGCAGTCCAAACATCACGTCAACCTTCCTGCAAGGGACTCTACAGTTCTGCTGGCTACTAATGTGCCGAGGACTCCCAGTTTCTTCAGTAGGAACATGCTGGCCCAACTACTTGACAACTTTCAATTAAACTCAGTTTTCCTTTAAGCGCAGGAACGGCTAATCTGCTGCTTTCCACTTACACTTCAGACTCAAGATGGTCACTGCACAGGCAGGTCCCGCTGGCATCCTGAGACTACTTAGAGAGACTCTCTGCTCTAACCACAGTCTGCTAATGAGTAACATTTAGTGGAGTGTTCTAGAATTAGCCAATGGTCACCCAAGCTCTGAGTTCCATCCTGCAACCAGGGATGAGACACAAGAACACCTCCAGATGGACAGCTCTCAACCTGTCTCCAAGGTCTCACTTCTGTCTTTATTTGTTCCTACTTATTTTGTCTCTCCCCTAAAAAGCTGCCTTTGCCCTCAAACAATACACTTTGGGTCTGTTCATCTCTGAACTGGGTCCTAGTACCACAGTTTGGCCTTATTGTACCAGCAGACCTGTCAAAAACTGACTTGACCACTGTACTGATGGAAAATAATTTGTCACTTGAAATCTATCACGTTGCAGAGGCTGAGGATTACATATCCTTCGACCCTGCAGAGCAATAGGACATGTCAATGAGCAAGTACCTTAATGCCAGAAAGCTGCTGCTCTATTTCACTAGAACTTTCTGGTCTGGTCATAGGGACTCAACCAAAAGATGATTCAGTATCAAATACTGACCTTCCTTGAAAATTGACAGGCTAGACCTAGTAACTTCTGCTATGTTCTTATCTATGGGAACACAAAACTGAGCAAAAAACCCCAACCTTTCTCCATCTTTCTTATCAATGTGCAAGACCTGGCTATGTTTTAAAAGTACATCTGCTCTCCCATGCTACTAGCCACCGAATCAGAAACACTGGCAGTGTCTTTCACGTGGGTTGATGTGTGTGATAGCTGGAGAGAAAGGAGTTACAAAAAGCCTCCTTCAATGTTTGGGGTATGGCATGAGCCTAACCTCTTACATTCATTTATCATTAGAAAAATTAGGAGATCCTAAGATACTTATGCTATGACAGAGATGGAACTCTCTCTTGGGAACCCAGCGTTTTTACGTGTCCTCTACATTATACGGAAGATCACCTTTTCAGAGTATGATGCTATGAAAATGTGCAACTTTAAGAAACATATATTGTAATAATACTGGGAATTACAATTTAGATGTAGCGTTACTGCTTAAACAATGTTACGTAAGAAAATGGGCTTTAACGATTTCTCATAAACTCTCTTACCTGTGTAGTATATGAGAAGGGCACAGTGCGCATTTAGAAATAGGTTGGAGAGGAATTATGAAGAGCAAAGGATAATGGATCTTATGAAGACCTAAATTTAATATCTTCAGTGTTGCCAAAGAGGCAACAAAGAGAAAATCTGTAGAAGCAAGAGCATTATGTGCCTTGTATTCCATTTATTAAGTTTTCTTCTGTCATTTTTTCCCTTTATTGTAAGCAGCTTTATCAGGCTTGCTCTATATGGTGCTAACCAATGGACGTTCACTGCTCAGTCTGAGAATTCGGCTAAATAAAGAATTCCAGAAAGAAGGAGAAAACCTACTCCTTCACAGTAAGAATAGACATTTCTTGCTTTGTAAAGTTCTTTCTGATAAAGCAGTAAATTGGGAATAATCATGAAAGGATTCATCTTAATCTGCTCTCCAGTGTGAAAATTTGCATATAAATATAAACTGTTTTCTGATTAACAAAGAAGTCTTTTAAGATATTTGTGTAATCCTTTCAGAAGTCGTGGCTAAAGGCTTTAAAACGCAACCTTTAACCTCTAAAATGCTGCTTTCTAACTGGTTGCCTTATTTGGTAATTTGTTGTCCTGGTGATAATATTTAAGTAGTATCTGTAATTTTTTTTCCTGAAAAAATAAATACTTTTAAGGTTTTATTTTATTTCTTGATTGGCCAGAAAAAGTTGATATTTTTCTCTTTTCCCGTTTATGTATACAGCACAAATAAATGGTATACTCCGTGTTCAAAGTTTGAGGAGTCATTGTCACTTATCACACCCAAAGTCAGCTAATGGGTAAGAGACAAAAGCATGAGACAAACTCATCTGCTAGAGAACAAGAGAGAGTAACTATTTTAAAAGACGTTTAAAAAGTTAACTCTATGTAGACATTAATTCTGATTTCCTTTTTTCTCTTCTTCCTAAACTGGAGAGGTCAGACCTTGGTTTAACTCAATTGGCCTCGTTACTGTCTTGCTGCATTTCAGTCCCTGTGCATTGGGCACTCCGATGTTCACAGGAAACTCTGCTCTGCTTCTTAGTCACAGACTGGAGCCCCAACCTCACTGACCCACTTAGTACATGTATTAGACTGACACTCAGTAGCCGAATCTCTGTTACAATAGATAAATCATTGCTCCCCTGGTTGACAAAACCATAATTCTCAAGATTGGTTTCATACAAATCGGGCATATCTTTTTCTTCTTCAAACACAAAGCTCCAATTCCCCTAAGCTTTTCGTTTGGCTCACTGTAATTCTACTTTTTGGCTTTGTTTTACCTTCAGCTGCCAGCATATTTTAAAAACCATGCAGACATACTGAAAAAAACCTCCAATGCAACTTAATGTGGGTGGATATGACTGGACTTTTTGCTGTGAAACTTGAGTCATGTTTGAGTAATGAAATAAACAAACTAAAATGCAGAGCAAGCACAAGAATCATCTCTTATTCAGTATCTTTTAAAAAAATGTTTTCAGCTAAGTAAAAGAACGATTCACCTTCACAACTTGCTGGCTCTCCAAAGAATGACTGGCACCATCCCATTTTTAAAAAAGAGCTTTAAAAAAAGACTTTTCTGCTTGGGTAATTTTCCTCTTGATTCAATGTTTACTGTAGAAAATAAAAGTCAAAGAAAGAAATACAAACCATATATAATTAAAAAGAGTCTTTTAAAACAACACATTGAATTTGAGAGTGTTTTATTCCCTGTAATGCGCCATACAAATGCAAAGCAGGACTAAGAATCATCTTTGATCAGGTGGGTCTTTAACCTACTAAAGTCTTCCCAAGGTTCATGCAGGTGTCTGGGGATGTTGCTATGTCCACAATTGTAGAAGCCAGCATAAGAAAACAAAAAACAAAACACAGCGCTAAAAGGGAAGTACAGAAGTCCACGATATAGTTGCCATCTGAATACCCAGGAGTCCCTCTTAGAAAGACCCTCCCATACCGCTGTGATACCTCCTAGCAGCCATTCACGCCAAGTGGGGAACCAGCTGATCCTGAAAGCCCCTACGAATGGGGCAGCCCCTTCTTTCCACCGCTAGAAGTTCTCATCATAAACAACTTTTACCTTATATAGAAGTGAAAAAAATCTTTTTTTCCGTACTCAATAATTACCCAAAATAAATGAAACCCCTTGCTGCATGACAGACCTTCAAATACGTGAAGACAATAGGACACAGCCACTTCCCTGCCCAAATCCTTCTGCAGGTTGAAACAACAGAGCTGAAGTTGTGAAAATTGGTGTTATTAAGTTAGCACCAACCTAACCAGGCTGAAACTTCAATATGACTCAAATACTTACTGCAACATTGGTGTGTGAAGATACAAAGTCACCTAGTCACTGCCTTTGAAGGATATGGAATTCAGTCAATTCCGTAGATGTAATTAATCTTAGTTAACAAACGTGTGCCCACTATATATTAGAAACTATTTATGGCTGACCTTGTTCCAGATAGAAGGAAAAAGTTCCATGACTTTTCTCGTCAGAAATACAAGAAAATGCTTTTTAATATAAGTATTTTTTAAAAGCATTAACACTGTATTAACGTTAGGATTGTTGCAAAGGCATCCTACCAATTAGGTAATTATGTTGAGATCAATTTATCCAATATGGCAGAAGAAAGAATTATGAACCCAAATGAATGATTAGCTTTTTTAAAAAAAGAGTTAATAAAAATATCTAATTTCCAAAAAAACCTATTTGTTAGACTGATGTATTTAAAATGTTACAGTAAAAAGCTGACACAAATAATTGTCCCGTACTTTAGATTTTAAATGTCCTTAAACTAAAACTACTGAGTAATCATAATATAATGCAGAGAGGTAACAAAACTATTTTAAGGTTTTTCAGTGGTGTGTATGTTTACGTACGCATACCAGAACATATAATCACGAGTCTTAAAGCCTTCTTCCAAACAGTTCATCCAAAAGAATTACACACATTTCAAAACATCTTTGGAGGTAAAAGGAACTTTAAACGTTAGCATCTTTTTTCTTACAATGTAATGGCAAAATGCATGGGAATTCTTGACCGTGCTCCCCACCCAAAAAAATCATTTAATCAATCCCAATGCCCTTTAAATTTCAAACGTGAAAGTTTTAAAACGGCAATCCTAGCTTTAATACTCTTAACAGTTTTCTGGAAATGCGCAATATCTCAAAGCATTACAGCCTGGTAGCTTGTATTTTGTCATAAACCAACTACTGCAACCTAAGCTACAGAGCCCTGTGACATGTTCTCTTAGGCCTCCTCGTTTTCATTAGTGGACTAGAATCGCGCTGCTAACAATCAAAGCTTGAAATGAAACAATACAGGTCAGCATGAAAACCGAAGTTAGAGAGACTCAGTGGCCGCAGCAGACGGCAGCCCGGCAGCCAAGCCCTGGGGCTCCGCCGCGTTCGTGCCTTCAGCTCCGCTTCACGAATCACAGGCAAATCGTTATTCCGAGTAAACTCGAGCCGCATCAAAGCTTCGGGAAGGGGCTGGAAGGCGGTGTACTTACGGAGAGGCTCCCAGGACGGGGAGCGACACAACCTGTCAGGGAGGGTCTCTAAGGTCCCCCGGGGGGCAGCGTGCATTCGGAAAGGCGATGTGGATTCGGGCGGCCTCCTCCCCACAGCATCCCCGACGAAGCCGGGCTAGGCCCCGGGGCGCTCCCGGTGCACCTGCAATGCGGATCCCTCGCCCTGCGATCCCACCCCGGGGCCGGCAGGAGCGCCCCGGGACCGGCCTCTCCTCCCCCCCGGCACCGGCGTGGGCGCGCGCCGCTGCTGGTCCGCACCCTAGGCTGAAGCCCGGGCCGGGGCGCCCCCTCCCCAAAGGGGTCCGGCGGACCCCGAGGGGGCGGACGCGGGGGTGGCCGCGCCTCAGGGGTCCTCTCCCCCCCCACTCCGCGTCCCCCAAGTTGCCTTCGCCCGGGGCCAGCCCTGCCCCCCGCAGAGCTGGCGTGGCTCCCGAGCCCCGGGGGTGGGGCGGCAAGACCCAGTCCCCCGTCTACCGGCGGAGAGGGTTTTTAAAGTCGTCGCCACGAACTCGCGTCCCCTCCCGGCCCCTCCGGCGCCGCCAGGTGAGCGGGGCCGGACTCGGCACACCCCGGGCTCCGCCTCACCTGCGGGCGCCGCCGTCGCGCTCCTTCAGGCGGCTGTCCCGCTCGGTTGGGTCTTCCCGGCGGGCGGCGGCGGGAGCCGGCTGCCCATGGGCGGGGCGCGGCGGGCGGGGCTGGCTGGGCTCGGGCGCTGCCCCGGCCGGGCCGCCGAGGGAGGTCAGTGGGCGCCGCCCGCCCGGCGCATCTCGCTAGCTCCCACCCGAGCGCTCGCCGCGGTGCACCCTGGGAGCGGCCGGCGGCAAGGCCTGGCCGCGCTGACCCGGCGGGCGAGGCGCCGGCGCGGCGGCGGGTCTGTGTCGGCCGGGCGGGGCGGGGGCGGCCGGGCTGATACTCACTTGGCTAGGCGGGGCGACGCCCCCCTCCCCCCCGGCTGTGGCGAGGCGGGGGCGAGGGCCGAGGGGAAGGGAGGGTCCGGCCAGCGGGACGCAGGCGCACAGCTCAGGTGCGGCCGCACTGCGGTTGCCCTGGGAAACGCGGCCGGGGCGAGCGCGCGGGGAGGAGCGAGGGAAGCGAGCGGGAGCGCGCGCGCCGCGCGCGGGGGTGCGGGGTGGCCGGGCCGGGCCGGGCCGGGGCTGGGGGGCGGGGGCGGGGGCGGGGGCGGAGGCGGAGGCGGGGGGTGGGGGCGAGGGCCGGGCGGCGCGCATGCGTACGGCCCCCGCTCCCCCGGGGCTCCCCGGCCTCGTGCGTGCGCACGCGCGCTGTCCCCCGGAGGCGTCTGGGTGTGCGGAGCGCGCGCGCGCGCGGCTCGGAGGCGCACCTGTGAGGTGTCCCTGTGGAGCGGGAGGTGGGTGCGCGGCGCCCGCGGCCTGGGGCGCCGACTCCCCTCACTTGGAGTGAGTTCTCCGCGGCCGGGCCGCAGTCTCTTTCTTTCTTTCCTGGAGGGAGGCGGGGGCCGGGGGCCCGGGAGTGGGCTGGGAGTGGGAAGGAGGTGGAGTGGGTTAAAGAAAAGAAAAACAACCCGTCCCGGAGGATGGGCCTCGGGCTGGCCCGGCCCTTGGGGATGGCGGGGAAGGTCAGAGCGGCTTCGCGCAGCCGGGCGGGCCCCGGGCCGAGCAGCCGCCCCTCCGGCCTCGGGCGGGCGTCCGCGGGCCCGCAGTGCGGGGGAGCGGGGCCGGGGGGCGCAGATGGCGGCCGGCACGAGCGAGGGCTGGGCAGCGGGCAGGGCGAGGCCGGGCGAGGCCCCGCGGGAGCCGGACTCCCGAGCCCGGCTCCATTGTTGTCGGAGCCGAGGGAAGGGGGAGCGCGGCCGCCCTCGCCGCCCGTGGAGCCGCGCCTTGGAGCCCTTCCAGGCGGGTCCCGGGAGAGGCGGTCGTGGCCGCGCCGGGGGACCGGGGAGCCGGGCGGCTGCGGAGGAGCCGCTGCATGGGGTGCCGTGTGTTTTTCAGGGCGCCCCGCGTCCGGGCGGAGGAGGCGAGCATCCCGCCCAGGTGATGAGGGACCGCTCGCGCCCCCAGCGCGCAAGGCTGCCGCCGCCGGACGCCTCCATTGTCTGACCGCCGGGGCCGGATCCTCACCCAGGTAAACCGGCTGCCGGCGCGGCCCGCGGCCCTCGCGGCTCCCCCTCCGCGGGCGTTCTCGCCCCTGCCCGGGCGCCGCGGCGGTTTTCTGGCCGTCCCCGGCCGCCGAGGCGCTCCGCACACCCCGCTCCCAGACGCCTTCCCCGGCGGACCCGGCGCTGCACGTCGCCTCGCGCCGTCCCCGGAACTCGGCGCCTTTGTGAAACCCTTTCTGGTCCAACTCTCGCAACTGAGTCTCCCCGGGAGCCCGCTCCGAACTGTGGCGGTTGCTGGGTGGTGTGTGGGCTGTCTTAGCGCAACAAAGGAGAGCAGCTACTGAAGAAGGATCGCTGGGCTGTATTGCCTTCTTAAAGGAACGTTTTCTGATATGTACCCAGTTTATTGTTTTCACAAGATAAAACGGGTTTTAGGCATTTTGTCGTCTTCTTTAGCGAGGGCCCCCTATTTCCTTTGTAGATGCATAGTTTTTTTTTTTTTAGAGCGGGAAATGGACCTTGTTCAACAGACAGGTTATTTTTAAATTTAAAAATTAAACGAGCAGAGTAGTGCATTTTTTTTGTTTGTTTGTTTTGTAAAAAGCAGCGTATCACAGATGGCATTTTGTCTTTGGCTACCCACCTCTGTCTCCTGGGATGCCGACTGTTGTGTGTGGCGTGTATCCTTTTAGATCTTCTGGAATACTTTTGTGTCTGTTCTTACATCATTTTTGATTCCTTTAACAAGGACTGTTGTAGCCTAACTTGCAATTTTAGCATATGATGCTTCAACTCGTTTCTCACAACAGCATCATGTTCCATGGTTTCGGTATACCATGGTTTAGCCATTTCCCAAACTGATACCAGTTTAAGTCTTAACTTTAAAACAGCTTTTTCGCTGGTAGTGGTTCTCTGGTGAGATGAAATTTCGGTGGTAGGAGCACAGATCTACACTAATTATAGAGATTAGGCATTTATGATGCAGTTCTCTTCTGGTTAAGAAATTTACAGGTGGTAGCAGCCACCCTTCCCCTATGGTAGTTCTGACTTTACCAGTTACAAGTTGTGTGACCTTGGGGAGGACATTGGATCTCTTTCTGTTGCCCAGGCTGGAGTGCAGTGGCATGATCCTAGTTCACTGCAGCCTCGGACTCCTGGGCTCAAGTGATCCTCCTGCCTCAGCCTCCCTGGTAGTTAGGAATGACTACAGCCATGTGCCCCCACACCTGGCTGATTTATTTTGTTTTTGTAAAGACAGGGTCTGTCTTGCCCCAACTGATCTTAAACTCCTGGCCTCAAGCAATCCTCCTAAAGTATTGGGTTTACAGGAGTGAGCGACTGTGCCCAGCCGCTAATGCTTTTACATGCCTTAAAAAATAAGGCATAAGTTAGTTGACTGTGAATACATGTATCAGCAAACTGAACACTAGACAAAACGATACCCTCACTAATATTTATGCTTATTTCCTAGAGTTGTAAGTTGTACATGTATTTTTCTGTGGCAGCAGCAGATTCAGATTATCTTTTATGTCCTTCAGGGAAAAGGGATTGTTACTAAATTTGTAGGCTGTGTAGGAAGGAGTTTTAATATTGACATTTAATATTTTAATCATTTAAATAATTGAATGATGTGATGGTAACGTTTTAAGTGTACAGGATTTGTTTAGGGTCTTTGTAGGTATTTTTCTTTCAGATACGTATGAGATACCTATGTACATATGTACATCGGCCATATGTAGAGTGGACAGCAAAATCAACTTGTTCTTGTTTTCTTGAAGCGCAGAATCTGTGAGGGGGAGGGGATCAGAATTTAAACACAATCACACAACTACACGTATGATCAGAAACTATGGTATCTGCTGTGGAAGTTACGCAGCTATGAGGGAGTATAAAAAAGGGGAGACCAAATTTTAGAGTCAAGAGAAGGGGCCTAGGAAAGGCTTTTCTGTAAAAATGAGATTTAAGCTGAAATTTGAAGAGTGAGTAGGTGTTACTGTGGAGGGAAGTGGGGGATAATTTTCCAGGCAGAGGAACAGCATGTGGGAAAGACTCAAAGGGCTAGAAATCTTTGCCCATTCCAGGAACTGAAAGAATGACTGTGGTTAGACTGTGGAGGTGAAGGGCAAGAGTGGCCAGACCAGGGGCCAGATCAGGTAGGGTCTTGTAGGGCAGGTAAAAGTGGTTGTATTTTATCCCAAGTGAAATGGGAAACTATGATACTGGTTGGATTTCAAGAAGAGGAGTTACATAATCAGATTTGTATCTTTAAACAGCCACTCTAGTTGCTGCATGCAAAATGTGGGGGCGTGCTGGGGGTGGAGAATTGAAGTGGGGAGACCAGGTAAGCCATCTCAGAGGGCTGTCTGGAAAAGATGTGGGCTTTCCCGTGGAATTCACGTTAACTTCACCAGGTATACCAAGGTCAAATCAGTGTTTGATTAAAAAAAAAAAAAAAAATCTTGTTTCTAGTTTTTAAAAAGTGGGGATAAATAAAAGTTGCAATAAGTATTTGTATGCAAAAGGTACATGTAAATGTTAGACTAGTTGTCTACACTATACTTAAAAGTGTCAGTGAGTCAAATTAAAACCTGGGACATTATTTAACAAGGTTTTTATGTTTTGATAAAGCAGTAATATGTGAGGTTGGAGTGAAGTGAGGCTCTAAAATGAAAAGAAAGGAAACATTTATAGATGCTATTGACTAGGAAAACAATAACAAAAATTATTAGGCAAAAAATTGATGAAGTGACCATGTACTAGTATATGTACAAAATTAATAGCTTTCTGAATTCCAGAAATAACCTACCATGGCAAAACAAAACAAAACAAAACAAAAAAAACCCTGAAAAAGAAACTGGCTCTGACCACACTGCAGCCAAACAAGTGAACCACATAAAACCACAACCTTATAGAGTTAAGTGTGTGCTCTATGGAGGAGACCATAAAGTATCGTGAAAGGTCTGAAGGGGTACCTTAAATGGAAAGAGAGGCCATCTTCCTGGCTGTCGTATCTGCATGTTATGGGTATGTTTACTTTGGGGTGAACTTGGCAGAATAATTATGAGTAATGAGATAAGACAAACATAGAGCCACATTCATTAAAACAGTATCATTCTGGCTGTAAAATATCCATACAGGTCACTGGAACTTATTCAGAACCCCAGAAATAAACTTTTTTATATGAAAATGTAATAACTAATAACAAAATCACGAATGCCCCTGAATCAAAGAAAATGGAAGTAAATATTAAGCATCTGGAAAGAGGAGTTTTACATGCTGAGGTGGATAGAGCACATGCTTAAGACTCAGATGTGTCTAAACTGGAGTATTTTAAGTGAGGAAAATAATCCCCACTTCGCAGGTGTTATGAGAATAAAGGCCCAAGCACCTACAGGGAACTCAAATCTGTAAGTAGCTGGTGCTGTTAGAAACAATGGAGAAAATAATAATTAAAAATTAGTGTATTGGACTACTTAAAAATTATTCTTTAGAA